TAGAGTCAAAGAGCATCTTGAACCCAACCAACAATAAACTTGGGCCAAACTTCCCACACAAAACCCCCATTAACAACAGAAAATATTGTGTTTTCTGATGGTCTTTGGCGACCCCTCTGACACCCCCTCGCGACCCCCCTAGGGGTCCTGACCCCCAGGTTGAGAAACACTGCCCTAAGCGAAGGCACGGGACGGAGGCGCTCAATGCATTTTGGCCACAATGGATGCAAGTAGGTCTCCTGCCCCAAAGGTACCAGCCTAGAGCGCATCTGCTCTGCACAACAGGGTAATCATTCCAGTTTGAGTCCTTCCTCGCTTTCTCTGCTTGGCCGGAGAGAGGGACTGGGTGGGATCTATGCCGGGAGTGGTCCAGGGAAATGTGGCTTAAGGTCAAGGTTCCCCTTGGCATTAAATCTAGTCATAATTGACTCTGGGAGGTGGTGCTCATCTCCATTTCTAAGCCAAAGAGCCCTAGAGGAGTCCCTTGGGGAGATGGTAGCGGGGTACAAATAAAGTGCTATTATTATTATTATTATAGACACCTCCTAGGTCATGTGGCCAGCATGACTACATGGAGCGCCATTACTTTCCTGCTGTAGCGGTACCTATTGATCTCCTCTGGGAGACCAATACCTGTGAGGAGCGGCTTAAAGAGCTGTGCATGTTTAGCCTGCAGAAGAGAAAGAAGGCTGAGAGGAGATAAATATGTGAGGGGAAGTCATAGAGAGGAGGGAACAAGTTTGCTTTCTGCTGCCCTGGAGAAATTATTATTTTTATTATTAATTATTTATTTATGATATTATTTTATTTATATATTATATTATATAAAATTATATAATTTTATTATATATATTATATTATTTTATATTATATATATACATACACACACACTAGCTGTACCTGCCATGCATTGCTGTGACCAACTTTCCCTCCCTCTTTCTTTCTTTCCTTCCTTCTTTCCCTCTTTTTTCCCTTCTTCTTCCTTCCTTCTCTGTTTCGTTTCTTGCTTCCTTTGCTCTTTGGTTCCATCCTTCCTTGTCTCTTTCCTTCCC